TATTATTTAGTATTTTTAATTTTAGTTTACTTATTACTCAGTTTAAAGTTATTGTATTATATTATATTTTGCTTTAATTTTCCTTTCTTACTTATTTTCATTGCCCCTCAGTCATTGAAATTGGTTTTAATTAAAGAACAATTTTTCTCCCATTTTTGTTTTAATTTTAATTTAATTTAAAGGTAATTTAAGGTAATATTCTTGATAGTGCCTTACATATGTATATATATTATTCAGAAATTGAAGTAATTAAAAAACTGAAGAAGAAGTTGAAGCCACAGTAAGTTAAGAGGAGTAAAGTTGTTAATTAAAAGAAAGTTAGAGTCTTAATTGAAGAAACAATTAACTGTCAACTGTATGCCTTGACACTTGCAACAAGTTCAATGTAAATGTAGCTCTCTCCTTCAGTCTCTGTCTTGCTGTCTCCTTCTCGATTGTCTGATAGCTTTCTGTTACCGACTGTCAAACCGCTATTTCGGCTGTCAAAAAGCTGGCGCATGCGCCGTTCGCATTGGCGTTCAGCTGTTTGGTATGCGACGCGTCGGTGGAGGAAAGCTCTGCGGCGCTTGGCAAAAGCTCTGCGCGGACAGTGCTCTGAAGTATTTGTAGCGTGGTTTTCCAGTGTTAAAACATTAAAAGCTAGGCTGGAAAAAGGACAACAGTTAAATAGAAGATACCAACACTATTGGTATCCAGCAATACGGAGCTGCAAACTCCATTTGGCATAATTCCCCACACACACGCACACGCTCATACACACACACACACAGGCGCACACACAGCAAAAAGTCGATTTTTCACCAACATAAAGTTGTATATGTGCAAAACTTTCGAATCGCAGGATAAATTCAATGCAAACGCGAGTAAATTTAATGAAAATTAAAAAGAAACTGCCATCAATTAAAATATAATTAATATAAACTAAAAACTTTGCAAAATGTGTGTGATATAGACGTGTAAGCATTTTGTTTTTCATACCAAAATGCTGAGCTCATCATAGAGCATAGAAAAGTTCTGCCAGCAGCAGAAGCAGCAGCACAAGCGAAAGGAGCCTTTGCCTCCCTCCCCTCCATCAAACTGCCCCCGTGCCGAGCGTTGGCCTGTTGTTTGTGATGTTATGTTTATGGTAATGAGAAAGGTGATAATTTGTGTGACTAAACGCCTTAAAGGCTGTTGAGCAATGCGTAGCGGCCGGAGGCAGACGACAACAGCCTTACCCTAAGCCAGAGCCAAAAATTTCAAATTGGAATTGCGACCGCAGGCAACAGCCAATTGCTAAGAGCTGAGAGCCAAAAGCGTTTTACGTCCGGGTTAAGATAACGTTAAGCACAAGCTACGGCTGCACAACGACAACAACAACGACGCGGACGACGACCAGGACCAGGTCGACGACTAGAAAGCGCACATGGCGAGCTGGAGCTGGAGCATCTTGTGCGCAACGCTGTTGGTCGGCCTCACGTTACTCACGGGTAAGTCCAGACAGACAGACAGGCAGACACCGAGAGAGTGAAGAGTGTGGGAGAGAGAGAGAGTGAGAGCTTGGAGGTAGCTTAATCTAATCCTAATTCTATTTATATATGTATATGTTTAGTGACCCATACGGTGCGCATTACCAATCTCCGTGTGCCGCACACTTACACACTCGAACGTGATAATGAGCCCGATCCTTTGGTGTTGGACTGCGAGTACGAGATGGGGCCAAGGGAGAAGGGCTTTGTGCTCAAGTGGCTGTTCAATAATCACTCCATCTATCAGTGGATACCATCCGTAAAGGGTTTTGCCATGGTGAGTCATTGTCACCCCATTTCAGCTCGAAAGGCGCAAAAACAAAACTCAAACAAAAAAATTAATTAACATAAAATTTGCTTTCTTCTTGTTYTTCTCACATTTGTTGTTGTTGCGCCTCTTGTAGGGCTTCATGAAGTCAAAGATAGACACCAAAATATTCACCATGGAGGGCAGTCCCGGTGTTATATCGATAAAGAATCCCGACTGGAACATGACGGGGGAATACACCTGTGCCGTGCAAACCTTTGAGTCCACGGATAAGCGAAGTGCCCGCTTACAAATAATCGGTATGTGAATGTGAATGTGAATACGAATACGAATGTGGATGGGTTTGCAATTTACATATATGTATATAAAGCTATTGTTTTCTTTTTATTCCAATACCCTATGAGTGTAGAGGTTATATGGATGTGTGCCTCAGGATGAACATATTTTTTGATTAGGCTAACTTCTGTTAGGTTTTGATCGAATGAGTAATTCGATTTCTTATTAGAGTATAACTTATAAGACGTATGTTAAATTGTTTGATTTTTTTATTCAAAATAGTTTAATAAAAATTTTTAATAATGAACATATACATATGTTATTCTTATCAGAACTATCATTAATTCTTTGAGATATTGTACATATTGAATTCTTAGATTGTGATTTTGATATGATATGAATTATATTTTTATAATGATATATCTATATATAAATGAAATCCTCTCAAACAGATTAAAATGTAAGAATAGATATTTATTATTTTAAAATTTTTAGTTAAGTTTTCAAAAACTTGAATGACATATTATCAATGATTTGTAATTTTTTAATATTTATAATATTTCTTTTTTATATGAAATTAAATTCCGTTCATCTTAAATTTCTTCTTAAATTTAGCCTTTGAGAGTAAAAAATAAGTCGGCTCTATTGAGCTCTATTTTACTCACCTGTTTATGGCGTGAACTTGTTTGCATAGGTGTTGGCTAGGTGTGCTGCTACATGTGGGTGTGTGACTGTTACTCTGAGTCTGAGTGTGTGTGTGTGTGTGTTTGTGGCACGTGCGACTCATATTTGCATGCGTGTCATGTGGCAGTCGCTGCGGTTATAAAGCGCCCAGCCACCAGCCAAGCGTCGCCTCTTGTTTTTGTTTGTATTTTTTTTTGTTTTATATCAAAAGTTTTGTTGTTGTTGTTGTTGGGGTTTTTTTCTGGTTTTTTGTTTAGTTTGACACTTGATTAATTCTCACGGATTTTTTGTTCGCTACATGTCCTGTGACCATTCTACCCACGCCCCCCTCTGAACACCAACTCGATTGGCAAACAGTTCCTGAGTCGGATTTCATGCTGGAGGCACGCATGGGAGGCGAGCAGACAGATGTGGACATAATGTGTGCAGTGCAGAATGTTTTCCCACAGCCGGTGCTATCCGTCATGTAAGTAAAGATCAGCATTTATGATGGATACACAATATATCTATAATCTCTCTCTCTCTCTCTCTCTCTCTCTCTCTTATAATCTCTCATTCACGCTGTCTCCCTTTAGTTTTGATACACATATATTGGACTCGGTGCTGACGCAATTGGATCAAAATCCCAGTGGCCTGTACAGCATGACAGTGCGAACGCGCATTCCTAGAGATCAACTTGAATCACCCACACCGATCACATGTGCGTTTTTCCTGCTCGGCACTAACTATACCAAACGCAGGGAGACTATTTTCTATGGTAAGTAGAGGTAAGCTGGCAGGCAGGCGGGCTCTCCCACAACTCTCTTGAACAATTCTTAATCGAAGTCAACTCTTCTTCTTCTTCCACTTCTCTTGAACGTCAATCGCCAATTCAGATAAAGCCACAAATATACAACGCAAATGGACAACAGTCGCCGTAGTTATGTCGATCGCATCTTTAGCTTTAAGCAGTTAGTTTGGTAGTGTTTTTGTAGGCTATGTACGTATTTGTTTTTATGTTCGTATAGAATGTTTAAAAGAAAAATTTCATTTTTAAATAGAATTTTAAAACGATAAACGTAATTTTTTGCGGTATTTTTAAAAAAGCGCTTATTTTGTAAATGCATGTAAATGTAAGAGAAACGAATGATACACACGCATACACACCTATACACACGTACATATATACACGCATAAACATACAAACAGACAAAATTGAGTAAGAAACAACAACAAATATACATAAAACATTTAACTGAACACAGAACACAACAAGCAGAAACAAACAAACAAGAACAACAAAAACTAAAACAAATTATTGTATTCATATATTTACCATATAAATTAAAAAAATATATATATAAATAGTTATGTATGATGTATAGGTCTAATTGAGTACAGAAACGCTAATAAAAAACGAAAAAAATAAAAGTGCATTAAATTAAATGTGTTGTCAAATGTTCTTCGTAAATAAATTCATAATATGTCCATTGTCAATTTTATACTTAGTATTAAATATATACATTTAAATATAGCGCTTTTAAAATATTTGGTATTTTTTTGCACTTTTAGAATATGGCGCCTATACATTGCAGCCCTGCACTACTTGCTGTCGCTGGCTTGTGCAGCCCTGGCGCGCATGTACGTACTACCACTTCCAGTACTCCTTCCAATGCGCCCATGAGTATGCAGTGAAAATGACAGCACTGGCAGCMGCAGCAGCAGCAGAGAAATCAACATCATTGTGAACTGAAATTGCAAAAAGTTGACGCCATAGGCCAGACGATAGACAGAGCCAAGGTTTCTGCTCCCTTGGCCCATTGATTGGATAATCCGCGAGCCATATTAACAACAGTTTAGCAGCCACAAAATAGAAATAACAATTTTTATTCAGCATGTCCTAGTATTAGTAGCTGGAAACGTGGACGACTCTCACTTAAACTGTTGGCAGAGCAACAGCAGCAACAGTAGCAGCAGCATCAGCAGCAGGAGGAGCAGCTAATGCGGCAGCATGGCGTCCGCCGACGGCGACACCATCAACACCATTGACCTGGACAGCTCCTCAACATCGCAGGCTAAACTAGCGGAGCCAAGCAATGGTAATTTACTAAGCAAACAAACAAAGTTGCAATAAACAAACGCATTTTTGCCAACGTAAAACCAAAAAAAAAAAAAAGGAAGCTCACAACAAAAGTTTGTCGCAAACAAAGACGAATCCGCTACGAGCGCAGACAAAAAATCAATGAATGGCAAATGGAAGTGGCCGTGGCGCATGTGTCTCAAAAACTAGGTGGGAGGCGGGGGGCGCGCCCCCGATTTGACTGACTGGCTGACTGCTTCACTGACTAACTGAGATACTTGTCTGAGCCAATGCCAACACATTTCCAATTGATATTTATATACATCATCAAGAAGGACCTACATAAAAATCAAACGAAAACAAAAGAAACTTTCAAGCGGCCAACAACCTGTCAACTATTTATGGCTACACAGCGTGTGCCAGTATGTGTGCGTGCTTACGTCTGTGCGTGTGCAAGTGCGTGTGTGTGCGTTTGCGTGAATGTACCTAACCCAAGTTCAAGCTCAAGTTGATTCATTTCCCACTTGGCTCATTCGCTATTCATGTCCAGGACATTATAAATTTTATATGAATTAAGCACGTTAAGTAGGCAACTAATAATATACTTTCCCAACTTGTAGTTTCCACCGACCATGTGGGTAACTCATCGCCCGACGTAAGTACACAAACAACTGTTTAGTTTCTATATAGAGCATTTTCTGTTTTACTCCTCAGCTGGGCAGTCGGCCTCCGCGCTCGGCCAACAAAGCGGACAAGGAGCGAAAAATTGGACACAGGCGCGTCGGCGAGGGCGGCGAGATTACCTACAAGAAGATACAGACGTCGCAAATTATGGGCTCCATACAGCTGGGCATACAACACACCGTAAGTGATTGAAGGAGAACCTTAAATATATAAACCAATTTATAATATCTGTTTTTATTCGGCAGGTCGGCAGCCTGGCATCGAAGCCAAAACGTGATCTACTTATGATGGACTTCTGGGAAATTGAGAGCATTACGTTTCCGCCAGAGGGTTCTAGCCTTACACCTGCCCACCATTATAGCGAATTCAGATATAAGATCTATGCGCCCATAGCATTTCGTTACTTTCGTGATCTGTTTGGCATACAGCCCGATGATTTTATGGTCCGTATTTGCAGCCAAGTTCAATAATTGTTATAAAAGCTCTTGCTTTCCAGATGTCTATGTGCACTTCGCCACTGCGCGAACTATCGAATCCAGGTGCTTCCGGCTCTATATTCTATTTAACGGACGATGATGAGTTCATTATCAAAACGGTGCAACACAAAGAGGGTGAATTTTTACAAAAACTACTGCCTGGGTAAGGGAAACACCTCCAAGGAAGAGAGTTAGGGAGAGAGAGAGAGAGAGAGGAGGAGAGAGAGTGAGCTCTTGCTAATGGCTTCATTCCCCAACAGTTATTATATGAATCTCAATCAAAATCCGCGCACTCTATTGCCGAAATTCTTCGGCCTCTACTGCCTGCAAACGAGCAATGCCAAAAACATTCGCCTGGTGGTGATGAACAATCTGCTGCCATCCTCGGTGCGAATGCATCTGAAATATGATCTCAAGGGCTCGACGTTCAAGCGCAAGGCATCGAAGGCGGAACGGGCCAAGAAGTCGCCCACGTACAAGGATCTCGACTTCATGGAACAGCATCCGAATGGCATTTTTCTGGAGGCGGAAACCTATTCGGCTCTGATCAAGACCATTCAACGGGATTGCACAGTGCTGGAATCGTTCAAGATTATGGACTACTCGCTGCTGCTGGGCGTCCACAACTTGGACGTGGCGCTCAAGGAGAAGCTGAGTGAGCATCGAAAGCCACTGAGAGCACCGCTGGCCGAGGACTCCGATGTCGATGAGCCGCTGGAAGCGGCCGAGGGCGATGCCAAGGATCGTGATGCGGCCACGGGCATCAGCAGAAATAAGTGAGTATTCATAGGAGGCAGCGAAATAGAATTCAATGAAAATGCTAAATGCTAATCCAGTGTGGCATACAGATCCGTGAATCGACAGCGTCTGGTGGCCCACTCCACGGCCATGGAGAGCATTCAGGCGGAGAGCGAGCCCATCGACGATGAGGAGGATGTGCCGTAAGTGCATAAGCTATAAACAAATTTTAATTTATTATATTTATCTACATTTATGTTTATGTTTTCCAACCAGACCTGGTGGCATTCCGGCACGCAGCGAGAAGGGCGAACGCCTGTTGCTCTATATTGGCATCATCGATATACTGCAATCGTATAGGCTAAAGAAGAAGCTGGAGCACACATTCAAAAGCATTATACATGACGGGGTAAGCGCTTGAGTTGGTTTAAGATTACTTGAGAGAGCCAAATACAAATTCTTTTCTTTTCTTCTTTTTGTGCAGGAGACCGTTTCGGTTTGTCGACCCTCGTTCTATGCTCAAAGATTTCAGAACTTTATGGCCAAGACCGTATTCCGCAAGATACCATCGCGTAAGTCAGCCGGCTGTCGCAACTGGGCTAAGTACACGTACTATAAGGCATTTTTGTGCAATTGGCAAAACGAAAACTACTTGAACATGTCCGTGCTGACATTTGACCTTTTGGCAATCGTTTTTTGCGTAGCTGCCACCCACACACACACACACACACACACACACTCACACACATAATAATATATATATATCTGTGGTATATCTGAATAATTGATATATCCATTCAACACCATTGTAAATCGCTAATTTAGTTTGATTCAGTTTTTGTGCAGCAAAAATGCAATATGGTACACACACTTTGCCCTCTGTGCGCTATCAATCGGTAGTCAGCTAATTATCTAGTCGAATTAACTAATTAATTATCATTATCTTGTTATTATCTTATCCAATTTGTGAAACGTAATTGAAAATTTGGACTTGATGTGTATTTTCTTTCTGAAACCGCTCTGTTCTCTGCTTTCTTTTCGATTACTTACTTTGATGCATTACTCTCACTTGTACGCATATAGTGGATCTCCCAGAGATCAAAGGAAATCACAGAAAATTTCGTACCTTGGTAACCAGCTATATAGGTAAAGAAACAACAATACTCACGAATTGTATTTTCGTTTTGATTGCTAAGTAACTAACTAAGATATATATTTATATACATATATATTTATTGAGTTCTTACACTTTGGTTTTATATTTTACATATATTTAATGCACTTGGTTGGTTGATGAAACCGGACGCAAAGCATGCCTCTCGATCACACGTTAGTGTTCATATCTCTAACCCACATATCCAACTAATCCAAATGCAATGAGCTTCTGCTTTAAGTGCTGCGCCTACTCAATCACACCTCTTTTATGATATTCTCGCACCTCAACTAATCTGTGATCTTTGTGGGATTTTACAGCTCTGAAGCATTCGCCATCGAAGAGAAAAAGCCTCTCCAAGGCCATACAGCGCTCCATAGACAGCGACAATGAGCCCACACGAGGTGAGTGAGCGTTGCTCAATCGACTAAAAACTGATTCCTAATCTCTCTCATCTTTCATCTCTCTCTTCCAGCTGTGCACGCATCGCACTCCCACAGCAGCGGCAAAATCCATCAGCCATCCAAGTCGTCTAACTCAGAGCCAATGTCCGCAGCCGCAGCTGCTGCTAGTGACAGGGAACGCGAACGGGATCGAGATAGAGATCGGGATCGGGATCGCGATCGGGATCGGGAAAGTGGGCGTCATTCGAGTACAGCTGGCCAGAGCTCCCACTCCGGCAACGTGCCACCGCCCGTGAGGCAGCGCGCATCCACGTCGTCGGCGAGCGGTGCTGCGACTGTCAGCAACTTGAAGGCGCGTGTTCCACCGCCAGTGCCACCGCGTGGCTCGCCACGTCGTAAGGATGCACAGGACAGTCGGGCGCACTCGACCACGCCAGGTACAGCAACATTCGATATCAATTCACCCACAGGCACTACAGCAGCTCCAGTCAGCGTGAGCAACACGCTGCAATTGCCCAGCGTCTCGAATCCTCGCTTTGGGGATCGTCGCTCGCCCAGCAATGTCCAGGATTGGCTAGAGCTGCACGATCTCTTTGATGTGGCGGACGATTTGAGTCCAGCGCCCGTGCCGTCCGTGTCTCCGCTGCAACGCAACCGCTCAACGCGTCGTCGCGAGTCGTTGCAGTCGGCCTACTCCACGGCGCGCTCGGAGAGCAGCCAGCGGCGGCAGCAGCAGCCGTCGCGCCTGCTCAGCCATGTGGACATCTTTCAGCGCCAAAACAGCTTCATGGCCCGCAGCGATCGCTCCTCGGTGGGATCGATCGTGCGCAACTTTCCGCCCATACGCGCCGAGAGCTATCGCACCGCCCACACCACTGTGAGCGGCAGCACCGAATGCTCACCCAGACGGAGCAAGCAGCTGATGCAGCGCAAGCAGCACAAGCGCCAGCGCTATCTGCACTATGTGGACCTGGCGCTGGGCGACGACAATTGCGAGTCGCAGGAGGAGAATCTGCTGCAGTCGGTGAGCACATTTCTCGAGGTGAAGCGCGAGTTCGAAGGCGCCAACCGACGGCCGAGAAACTTGCCCGTGCTGCAGGTTCCGCCGGAGGCCGCGGATGAAGCCGAACAGCACGTGCAGCTCAGTGTGCCCGCAGCACCACCAAAGCGCCCCAAGCGCAAGCGACGAGCACCCAAAGCGGCGCCTTCCACCATCCCGGAGAGCACGGACACACAGTCGAATGGCGCAACGTTCCGGGATTCGCTCGAATTCAGACGCAACAGTTGTGCCTAGACTGCAGCATGCTTACATTGCGCTTGCCCCATCCCCGCCCATCCCCTATATTTATATGTTTATGTTTGCTCTCGATTTGTCTCTACTCTGTCGCGCTCATTGCATTTCTGTTCTCATTGTATTGCTAGGCACAACTCCATCATGCAGTTCAACACCTCCCCCTGCCTTTGACGACATCTCCGAGGACAGTTCGAATAAGAACAGCACCTCCTCGATGGGGCGCAGGTCACATCATCATCATCACCATCACCACCAGCAACACCAGCAGCAGCAGCAGCAGCAGCAACAAGCCCAGCAGCAACATTCCTATTATCAGCAACAACCACAGTATTTGGATCGCAAGATGAACATTGGCCCAGCATATCGAGGCTCCTATAAGGAGGATATTGTTAGGTATTGCTAGATACATCAACAAGCTTTGCTGACACCTCAATTCTCGATTTTGTCTATGCTTTTATTGCAGCGTCTCTGAAGTGCATCTGGACACGTTTCTGGCGGTGGACACGTCATCGAGCAGTCACTATGGGTCACGCGGTGGCCTGGCCTGGACGCCACCGGCTTCAGGTGAGGGCTCAACACCCACTTGGACAGAGGGCACACCCAGTTTTACGGACTCCAGTTCGAGTGGTGATCTCGGTAATTGGCACTTGACTTGATTTCTTACTGCAATACGCCTTTTCTGTTCCGTTGGTTTATATATATATATATATAAATATTCATTCATTCGCTTACAATCGCAGACAACTTCTCGCCCATAAACTCATCCAAACTCGATCGACACAAGCCGACAGTGGAGGATGCCATCAACTCTCTGTCATCGGGAATGGTAAATATTCGTGGCGATGGTGTCAACATCTAGATTCTCTTCGATTTTGACTCAAAATACAATCCCAAGCCAAGACACATACAAAGCAACCCGATCGACAGACAGAAACCCATTCAAATTGCACACACGCACAACCACAACCACACTCACAACTACCACCCACCCACCCACATACATACATACACTTGCAATAATTCTATATATTATATGTATTGTAGATCAACTAACATAACATGTGATGATGGCGATGATACACAACACAAAACAACAGCAACAACAACAACAACAACTACTTCTCGTATACATGGTGCAAACAGAATTGGATTAAAGTTATAAACATACATACATACATATGATAAAGGAAATGCTTGAGTGTTCAGGTGCATGGGCGTGTGCACATACTGTTATATACATACATACATACATACATACATACATATACATATACTAGCCGTATATATACTGTTATATACTGACATACATATGTACATATTTGTGTGTGTGTGCCTGCACTTGTATAGCTAGGATATAATCAAAAGGCGCCCTCGTAGAACTCCATTGATAGACGTCACAGCAATATCTACATGCATTCGTATATACAGGATACCAGCAACAGATATCGTTCAAGTAATATATATATCTATATATATTCTATATAAACAAAGTACATATATATACATATATACGAATACAATAAATTTATCAAGCAAACAATAAATATAATTGATATTATATACAAACATCAAAACCTACATAAGATCAAAGCAAGTTGACAGCAAAAATAAAAAATTAAAAAATAAAAAACCAAAACGAAATGCAATTATGATTCCCGTTCCTTGATCCACGTTCCATATATAAGCTGATATTTGATGATATGAATGCATAATATCGAATTATACAATACCTTAAAATTAAAGTTATAAATTTAAAAAAATTATAGTTATATTTAACAAAATAAAATAAAAAACGTTTTTGCGATACTTTCGAATCTCCGATATATCCACGATACGTATTATGTATTTATGTATAATCAGCAATCGCGATATTACAATATTGTTGTAAAATATATTAACATTAAAAATTGATGAGCGGGACAGAGAAAACAAAAAGCAAAATTCTATGCATATTATTCATTTGTATTTATTATAATATGGTAATTGTAAACATGTTTAGGTTTAAAGGACGCGCCAGACACCACAGGACACGGACGACAGACGGACTAGACTCTTGCGAATCGAATAGGGCTAGGACATGTACTCCAAAAGCAAATACGAATGAATTGATTATTTATTAATTAGTTGAATGTTATTTAACTTATATGCATTATTCTAAAGATTACTGAAATCCAATTGTAATTACATACAATAAATTAAATTGCAAGGTTGAAAATCCGGCTCTGGTCTTTCTCATTTGGAAATGCACACAATTTGCTAACAGTTTTAACATACTTAAATAACGGATAACTTTTCTGGGCTAGTACAGCTTCTGCAGATCTTTTAGGGATTGATTCAAGAACTGATTGGTCCAGTCGTTCTCGGGATTGTCCAGATGATTGTCGAAATCAATCACATCCCGCATAGCACCCCGTTTCAGCAGCAGCGACACTCCCTCCAGCGTCTGCGACGTGTTCACCAGCGAGTATTTGGCCTTTGACCAGCGGTTCGAGTCACTGGAATAGCTGTACACCTGCAGAGCAGCTCGTTTGTGCTCCAATGAAACGAGCTTGTTGTCAACAATGGCAAAGCAGGCGTTCTTGAAGTTCTCCTGTATTTTATCCGCGATTTTGGCAGCTGGCGCCTTCTCGATTTGGTTGTCGTAAAAGTTCTCCGGCGCAGCATAGTAGCCGGCAATTACCAATCCCGCGCTCTCGGCGTAAGCGTCAATCTGCAATTGCCACATCTTCAGATCTGATCAGTTTTTAATTGTTTGCAAATTCACCTGCATTAGGGCTATTTCTGCCATAGGAGTAACGCCCAGGCACTGATGGAAAAGAGGAATTGCATCTGTGATTTGGACTATAGAACCTTTTGTCTTCTTCTCAGCCAGCAGCAGACCGTTCACAGCTTGGTGTGGGTATTTCGCCGCATGAAATATGATTTTTGTATATGCAGTCTCAGAAAACTCATATTCGCACATTTTAACTTATTATTTTTGTAAATTTTCCTAGCCGAGAGTTGACTTGTAAGTTTTTACTACTAATTAACTTTGTGTAAGACCGTAAACAACAAATGTCAAAATACATAAATATCCACAAAAATACTAAAAAATACTATAATACGTCAAATGAGCATTAGCTCATAAATAACGAATTACTTTAAGAAAGACAAAATGTGAATTTTGCGCAGTGATTCATTTAAAATAATCTTTTTTAAGTATTCTTCGAAAAGATTGTTACTTTAAACCTTTAACAGTACTGAATCGATAACATAATATTGCAAGCCATGTAATAACAGAGCAGCTGCTGTTAGTTTTTGGCCATGGCATACGTGTTGTTTACCTTAGAAGCTGAAATAACAGAACACCTGATTCGATTGAAATAAAACAATTTAGCAATGAATTTGACTTATTCATTATTGTTATTCCGTTTATATGAATGAATAAGAATACATAAAAAATATGTATAACATTTTATTACTTAACTGCTCGTCTGCGTCCCGATCTCTAATAGTTTTCTGTTTCAGAGTGTTTACGTTTATAATATTGTAACTAAAATATATGTAATTATATGTATATGCAGTGTACGCCCATCTGAAGCCATTCTGGAAAAATACTACTGGTTGTCACTTAAAATAGCCTTGATATCATCAGCATCCAGAGTTTCGTATTTTAGCAGCGCTTCGGCGAGCGCTTTGTGCTCCTTCGCATGCTTCTTGAGAATGGCCTTCGCACGCTCATAGCTATCACTCAGAATGCGCTTAATCTCAGCATCTACGGCTTCAACGGTATTCGGTCCTAGGGAGTCGCCTGCGCTCAGGCCTTTGGGCGACTCAATTGTCCGGAGACCGACCTTTTCCGACATACCCCAATCCTTAACCATATGCGTGGCGATCGATGTTGCTTGCTTCAGATCACTGCTTGCGCCTGATGTAATTTTTTCTGCACCAAAAATTATCTCCTCGGCGGCACGTCCGCCCATCATCGTGTCCATCATTGCCAGCAGTTGCGCCTTTGTCACATGATAGCGTTCCTTCTCCGGTATGTAGGCGGTGTGTCCCAAAGAGGGACCACGCGGCATAATTGTCACTTTATGCAGAGGATGTGACTCCTTCGTATAGAAGGCCACTATCGCGTGCCCTCCCTCATGATAGGCGGTTATTGTGTTTGCCTCTTCATCGGGCAGTCGGGCTTTTCGCTCTGGACCCATTAGTACTTTGTCTCTTGCAGTTTCCAAATGTTTCATATTTACAGTCTCGGCTCCGTCAATGGCAGCTCTGGAATGAATAAAATTAGTTATTATCCTATAAGAATATATAATGAGTTACCTCAGAGCTGCCTGATTAATCATATTCTCCAAATCCGCGCCCGTGAAACCCGAGGTGCCACGTGCTAGCATATCTAAGTCCACGTCATCATGCAGAATCTTTTCCAAATACAATGAAAGAATTTCTTTGCGACCCGTGAAGTCTGGCGTAGAGACTACAACTTCAACGTCAAAGCGACCTGGACGTAGCAACGCTTGATCCAAATCATCCCGACGATTCGTCGCACCGAGCACAATGACACCGGCATTTTGATGGAAGCCATCCATTTCGGAGAGCAGTTGATTTATGGTTTGATTCGCGTATGGATGGAGAACAGAATTTGTGCGCTTTGCGCCAACCGAATCAATTTCATCGATGAAGATGACGCAGGGAGCGCGAGCCTTAGCAGCCTCTGTAAATGATATGAACAAAGAAAGTGATACACAATAATGATTAGTTAGTGAACAATCACAACTACTTACTGAATAGATCTCGAACACGTCTGGCGCCCTGGCCAACCAGGACTTCATCAAACTCCGGACCGGCGGCGTGGAAGAAGGGAACATTTGCCTCGCCTGCAACGGCGCGGGCAAGCAAAGTCTTTCCAGTTCCAGGCGGGCCAACGAGGAGCACACCCTTCGGCAGCTTACCACCTAAATTTGAGAACTTATCGGGATTCTTGAGAAATTCTACCACCTCCTTAAGCTCTTGTTTCGCCTCATCACAGCCTTTGACATCATCGAATGTGACGTGAATTTCTTCTGGATCAACCTCAACCTGATTGCCAAGTTGTATGCTGCTAAAAGACATGTTTTTAGAATTATTTTGCACAGAGTGAGAGTGGAGAAAGAGAATGTAAAGCTTGACTCACCGGAATACAGATCCATTTGATGAGGTAAAGAAACTCATGAAGATTCCAATGAATACGACGATAACAATGAGTGTCTGGAAAATCTGCGTGACAATTACTGAGCATTATTCACAACACTAAGGAGCGAATGGTGGACAACAACTCATTACAGACCAGAAGTAAAGCACAGTTTGGCAGAACGTGAATATATAGCTATAGCTTATACTCAGAGATCTGCCCGAGATGTTTCCCCTCTCGGAGATGCTTTCTTCGGCAGCATAACGAAGGTCATGACAAAGGAGGGTTAGTTAATTGGATATTGGAACTTACCTTCAGGTACTTCATTGTTTTTCCCGACTTTTGCGAATCTTCCGCGTTCGATGCCGCCAAATATCCTTCAGCAAAAGCAATTTTTATATTCTCCTGAAAACAGAGGTATTCACAGTGAAGTTCTCGAATGAGAATAAATGAACGTAGTGCATACCGCATTATGTGCATTTCCCTGCAGCTCCGATTTAGAGAGCAATTTCTTAAGCTTCTCGGCCTGAATGTTCAGTTCACCATCTGTTTTCTGCGGCGTTCCTTGCAGCGCTGACTTCAGTCTGGTTGTCATTGTGGGATTGCGTTTCTGTTCTGCCTCAATGGAACGGTCTGTCTTGAATCCGCGGAATTGTCTCCTGCAGAAACGATGAAAATTCTTGAAATCATTCCGCTCCAGCAATCAACAATTGACAATTCTACTTACAACTGATGATGGTTCAGTGACATGGGACTCAATAGCCCTCTCAGCAAGGTTGATTGCATGCTGCTGCAATTGAGAGTTTTTAGTTAGTGGATGAATGAGATTGTAGACCGATCATACGCACATAAGCTCAGAATTTTTCGACGAATCCAATGAGACTTTAAACTTGTAATTAGCGTGTTGCTTGCCCGAAGCAGCTGTTTGTATCGCAGGCTCCTCCAGTGTGACATGGACATTCCGCATCGAGGGCAACATGCTGGTGACTCTGATCAGAGCATTGTTGACAAGCTCCTTGTCCAGTATACCATTCAATCGTGCTGCCTTCTCCACAATGCTTTGTAAACTAGCACCCGATTTGATGAGCAGGTTCTTGAAATCCAACACGAGGTCGTAACTTCTACCTTGGGCATGTGTACTTTTGTTATTGTTGATGCTGGAGCTGGAGGACCTTGATTTGTCGGCAAAGAAACGTGGAACACCGCCATTTGTTTGCAGTTTGGTACGTTTTACTGTGTAATAGTGCGGTTTTCGACTAAAATTACCCAGATAAAGGTAGGGCTGACATTGAATAAAAACCAAAAAGTCAGTGGTTGTGGGAATGGAAGCAATGGAGAATCGGGATCGTAGTTGGCCTACACTTACCACTGAGTGTGTGTTGGCAGAAAACATTCTCAGAATATACAAAAATTTTATTAATTACAATAACAGGCTTAGATCGGGCGAGCGGACGACAAAAATTTTTGACAGGCGAAAATGTCATAATCTTGTTGCGTCCGTGTTGCATCCCTGTGTATTTTGTGACAGCCCTCGAATTTGGTAGCCCGCCTAGACAATTATTTAAAATACTGCAATTTTGGATTTGATTTTATAGCCAAACTGTTTTGATTATAAACTCGTGGAGTTTTTGCGCTGTGAGTTGTTTGAGCCAAAATGTTGCTAATTAAAAACAATTACACTTTCAATGTGTTTTAACCAAAAGCGCTCTGGTTAGTGCCAAAAGTTATTACGCCATATTATTATGGTCACACTGCGAAGTGAAATTTTGAGAAATTCTGCATGAGAAATGACAAAAAAATAACTTTAGAAATGAAGAATTACTATTGTTATAACTTTATAGTATTTACTTCACAACAAGCTTCATTTTTTATTTATGAAATGTGCATATTAAAATATTTAATATCGATAGCTAAATACTATCGAAATATAACTAAATTATTTTGAAAACAGAGCCATCTTTTGTAAAATAAATTCAAATCAAATGTAGAGGAAACTAATATTACTTTAGTTTGTAAAAACCTGTTCGACATATGATTTATTAAATTAAACAAAAACCAAACCAACTATAGAAATGCCACGACACTAGCGCAACAATAAGTTTAGAATTTGCGTTGAATAACTTAGATATGTTCATATCAATAGTGCATACTTCTAAGATATAACAAAATGAATAAAGTAAATAGTGCTGCAAATTATGCTATAAAATAAACATAACTCTTAGGCATAAGTGCTGTGTTCTGTTGAAACGGTAATATATAATACTCGGCAGATGGCGCTAGTTGTTTGGCTTAATTGATTAATCGAATTTTTGAATTGTCATCGATTTATTTAACAGTTGGTTAACAGTCTAGAGCTGCAACCGCAGATCTCCGGTATACTCAACTTCGGCAGCGCGACGATCAGTCGAGTTTGAACTTCAACAGGTGTTAAAACGAATTCGTTACGAGAGAAGCGGCATTACTACTGCACACGAGATATCGGTAAAATGAGGAGTAACTGTTTCGCTTAATTATAAAAAAAAAACTAAATAAAAAATATATAAATTATCCATATGCTCAACTTGTTAAGAACGTGACAAATAATTTAAATTATAAAAAATCAGCTGAAAAGTTACCATACACATACATGCATACGTACTAATCTGTAGTGCTAGACAAAACCTTCAGATAAAGTTTGTGTTTGTTTTCGTTTTTGGATAACGTTTGTGTGTTTATTTTAGAGATCATATCAAAGTTTGGATTACTTCGCTTCATTCGAGAGCAACGTATTTTACGCAGCCCACAAACGCAAGGTAAGTACAAATTGTAGGAAATATATACATATCTGAATATTCATCTGCCAGACCACGATGCAAAATTGTTGGTTGCAAGTGCAGTGCAAGCCAGAGCCAGAGCCAGAGCTAGTAGACATTGAATTTGAATGAAAATGAGGGATGAGATTTCGTCATTTGCGGGCAGGCATACGGAGCACAAGTGCGAGAGCAACAACATGCGAGCTGAGATCAACAACCAGAGTTTACTCGCTCTATCGCACGTGTTTTCCCAATTACGACGAGTCGCTCATGTACGAGTACGTGAGCGCGAGTATGCAAGTGTGTGTAAGCGAGCGGCTATGTGTTGTGTGTATGAGTTTGTAGTTGTTTGTTGTCTACCTACCTGTAGCTTCATTACCTGCGCGCTGCTGCCTTTACTGTGCCATATCTAAAATACACTAAAACTCACACACACAGCAGTATGTTTGTGTGTATAGTCGAACTAGTGAGCGTATTAATGACATATAAATTTTCAACTTAAGTCGGCATTATCTAAGCAGTCGCCGTGTTTTACCACTGAGCCAGCACTGGCCCAATTCTCGACGCCAATTTGGCAGCTTTATCAACAAGAGGCCAACTGTAACCTCTCTTAGTAAGCACTTACTTTCTTGCACTCACCAATACAGACAAAGTCAGAAAAAGTGCAGCATCCGCACGTCGTCTCCAGGTGAGATATGCGATTTGGCTTGCTCTGGCTCAGACCCCGGCTCTCCGTGGTAGACAAACATTTACAGTCTGCCATGACTGAATCGAGCATTATTTTTAAAATGTGCCAAAGGCTTAGGGAAATGAATAGATGCCTTTACAGCAATACGAATTTGATATACTCTACCAAGAATTAATACTCTATGTTTTGAAATTTTAAATTTTAAATGATTATTAAAAATAAATAGGTTTTTAATTAATATGCTGCAAATTTTTAAATTAAGGAAACAATTAAATAGCTTATATACAAAGGTAAAATATAATAATAAAAAAAAATACAAAATAAAAAAAAATATAATTGAATT